TGCTTGACGCCTCAAAGATCAAGGTTGGATGGGTCGTCTGCAGAATTAGGGAAAGGCCGAACCTTAGAAAGTGCTTCAGGTGCATGGAATACGGCCACCTTGCAAGGGCGTGTACCAGCGAGGTTGACAGGAGTCAATGTCGGGAAAAGTGCGGCGAGAAGGGGCATTTTGCGAAAGAATGCAACAAAAAACCATTGTGTGCAGTATGCAAAAGTAAGGGAAATAAGAATACGGACCATCGAATCGGAAGTTGGAAGTGTCCTCTATATCAGGAGGCGTGAAAAAGGCCAAATGAGGGTTGTACAAATCAACCTAAACCATTGGATGGGAGGTGGAAACTCTAGATGAGGAAGCCTTCAAACTCATGTTAGATTGTCACCTAGGTACTGCAAGCGACTTAGACAGACGGGCTGACATGCTGGTGAAACACGTAACAAATGCCTGCGACGCTGCCATGTGTAGAAAAAGGCAAAATACGTCTCGAAGGTCCGCATATTGGTGGAATGAAGAGATCACCACTCTAAGAAGCGAATGCCAAATGCCTCTCCCAAAGAAGCCAAGGTGCGCCTGATCATCCAAGGATGCGAGAATGCTTCAGGAAAAAACGTAAAGAGCTGAAACAGGTGATAAAAAGAAGCAAGTCATCAAGCTTCAAAGAGCTATGTGAGAAAATGGATGAGAACCCATGGGGTGATGCGTACAAGATTGTAATGACGAAGATTAGAGAAAACAGAAGCAAAGCCCCAACATGTCCTATCCTCTTAGAAAAGAAAGTAATTAGAGTGGCGGAGAGTTTCGGCAACGCAAAGGAGCCTGAACTTGATGGGATCCCAAATAAGGCGCTTAAAATTGCCATTAAACATAGAATAAGGGTTTTCACCGATCTCTTTACACGGTGCTTTAATGAAGGAGTTTTCCCGAAAATATGGAAAAAGCAGCGCCTAGTTCTTCTTCAGTAGCCGAAAAAACAGGCTGGAGAGCCTAGTGCGTATCGGCCACTTTGTATGATAGACACGATGGCTAAAATATTGGAGAGACTGATCTGTTCGCGCTTTGAAAACCACCTAGAAAACGAGTCGCCTGGTCTATCTGACAACCAATTTGGCTTCAGAAAACACCGGTCCACCATAGATACAGTCCGCAAACTGACTGGCGTTGCGACCAAGGCCATAGAGGGCACCAGGTGGATGTATGGCGAAAAAAAATATTGCGCAGTCATCACATTAGACGTGAAAAATGCTTTTAACTCGGCATATTGGCCGCACATAATGAGGGCATTAGAGGAAAGGAATACTTCAGGGTATCTGCTGAGGATAATAAATAGCTCTCTGTCTGACAGTCTGCAATTGTATGACTCCGAGTCAGGGCCAAAAAGCTACGTAGTACGTACAGGAGGCGTACCGCAGGGATCGGTACTGGGTCCGTTGTTGTGGAATGTGCTATATGATGGAGTGTTACGCCTACTGCTACCAAAGGAAGTTTATATAATTGGCTACGCGGACGACATCGCTGTGGCGATTGTTGAGAAAGAGCTTACTCAAATTCAGAGCACATGCAATGAGGCCATAGAAAAAATTAAAGACTGGCTCACTACATCCAGGCTACAACTTGCTGGAGAGAAAACAGAAGCTGTTCTTATGACGAGCAGGAAAAAACTCGAAGTGGTCACCCTGGACGTCGATGGTCACAGCGTTACAACGCAAAGCTCACTGAGGTACCTTGGAGTAATGATCGATGCAAGGCTCAACTTTAAGGCACACATTGAAAAAGCTTGTAGTAAGGCGGCCTAAGTGACTGCGGCCCTGGCGAGAATCATGGCCAACATAGGTGGTCCTAGTCATAGTAGAAGAACTCTACTAGCTAAGGTTAGCCAGTCAATACTGATGTATGCAGCTCCTATATGGAGCAAGGCTCTGCGTCAAAAAACATATGCCAACAAGGCAAATGCAGCTAAGCGCCATTAGAGTTGCCTGTGCATTTAGGACGGTGTCGCATGAAGCGGCCAGCATCATATCCGGCATTATGCCACCAGATATAATTTCTTCGGAGCTTCGGCCGACGAGCGCAAGAGAGAGAGAGAGAGAGACGAGCCTGGCCGAGTGGCAAAAAAAATGGGACACGGCAGAAAAAGGAAGGTGGACCCATAGGCTCATTAAGAACCTACCAGCATGGATTGAAAGAGAACACGGAGAGACAGACTTCTACTGGACACAATTCTTGTCAGGCCATGACTGTTTCAGAGAATATCTTTACAGATTTGACCACGATGACGGGACTGGATGTTCCTTCTGCAACAGTGCCGCAGAAAATGTGGAGCATATCTTCTTCTCCTGCTTGAGATATGAAGTGGAGAGATCCACTATAGAGCAGTTGATAAACGAAAGGATGACGCCCGATAACATTGTGAGTCATATGTTGCAATCGAGGTTGGTATGGGCTAAAATGAAAGAATGGGCCGCGATAGCGTTGCAAGAACTTAGAATAAAAGAACGGCAACGGAGAAATGAAAGACCAGGTGAGTAACTGTACAGAAAGTGTGTGAAGAGGCATTATAGCCCAGCTTGGCCCTGCGAAGTAGTGCTAAACGGCGGTCCCGCAGGGCCAAATACAAGCTACAGCAGCCGGAGTTAAGGGTTTTAGTTACGTAGGCGTATTGTTTCGCAAGTCCAGTATGGTTAGATAATACTAATACTGTGCGTGGTCCCGAATGAGGTGCACCTTTAGCGTACGATACGAATCGTGCATGCCGCCCGGAAAAATGGCGGTATCTTCCGAAGATTCCCCCCTCCGAAAACAAAAAAAAAAAAAAAAAAAAAAAAAAAAAACACACACACACACACACACACACACACGCACACACACACACATACATACAAAATATGTATATTAACGAATTTTATTATATGCATAAAAATTCCAACATTTTACGTACATACATACATATATATCTAAATAGTCATTGTACATACTATATATAGATAGTATGCATTTGAAAGTCTCCAACCTATATGCCAAAGTGTCAATTTACACATATGAATGTATGTATGTATGTAAATGGTTGAGGGGAGTTATCCATTTATTAGTAGAAATTTCACGAATTAGCGCGAAAGTTGAAAAATTGCCGGTTAAACGCAAATTGACGCGCCTATGCTATACTTCTAACTAAGTGCTTACATATGTATATATTTATGAATACATATACCTACTAATGTATGCAAATTTCAACGCTCGCTTTGCAACGGTACAATCATTCCCTGTAATAGAAAACTATTTTGCATAGGCAAACTCATAGGCGCAAATACGACGAGTAGGTACCGGTATGCATTAGCATATACACACACATAGATACATACGAGTATATACATACATACATACATGCAAATTTTTTAAACAAATTGAAAGTGAGTTTGCCAATTGGCATAGGCTGAATGTGGGAGAATGACAGCACAAAAGTCAAAAATAAAGATTCTAAAAAGTTCCACAATCAGTTAGGTTTAACACACCAACTTTGTTACATATCTAAATATATATAGTATATATGTATAGGTATACTGCTCAGTTCATACATATGTATATGTATCTATGTATGTTCAAAATCAAACTATTTTCTGAGCTTTGCGTCACAATGAAATCACTCAGATCTAATTGAAATGAAGGAAGCAATTTACTTAATCTCTCGCTCCATTGCGTGAAAGTAAACGCTAGCATAGACCGCCAATGGATAAGTAGTAAAAAAAACTTAATAGCTTTACTGATTATATAGTTTCTGAGAAGCTATGTATTGTATGATGCATCGACCACATAAAGCTCAACAACAGTCACTTCTGTAATCATTTTCAAAGTATTTTTGTCATTAGAGCTGGAAAACTTTTGAGAAGAAATAACAACCTCCACAGCGATCAGAAAGAGACGATCAGAATTTAAAATTCACTTTTAAAACTAAACTTTTATTTGCATTAAGCAAAAGAGAATTTGTGGGTGTGAGATATCATCTACACAGGATAAGTAAAGAGTTTAGAGCGTGCATAAGAGTTCACAAAAGGCTGGATCACACCTGTGAGAGTGATAGTGTCTGTTCTTCAGCCGATTTAGACGTCTTATCTTTCACGATGTTCTCAACTCTAGGCTTACGGAGGTGGATAAATATGGTTGGTGGTGGTCTGAATATATTATCTCTTATAAATGTTCGCAAAAAGCATGTAGGTGAGGCCGTTTGGAGGTCAGGTCCACAAACTCCTCTTTCAACCAACCAACCAACCAACCAAGTTAATCACTAAACAGTTCTTATATCAAGCATGATACATAAAACTTATCAGTTTTTACAGTTATGAACAGCTACAAAACTTAAATCATGTCATACATACGTGTATTACTTTCCTCATTTCACTTTAATCCCCATAATTAACACACATACTTATTTGAGTGTATATACTACATATGCATACATACATACAATGCATTCTATGTGCCTATTCATCACTATCCAACCACCCAATAATGAGTTGTGCAGAAATGTGTAAATTGTCTATGAACGATTTCACTTTGCAATTGGTAAATAGTGAAATTATCTCGGTTGGATGTCAATGGACAGTATTCAATGCTGCTTTGTTATTGTCAATTCGTTTTGACGTACAATACAGTACAGTAGTGTGTATTTGTGTGTATGTATGTCTGTATTCACATATTTATTTTTTCGATTTGCATATTATTATTTATGTTTTTTTTCTGCTCATATTTTAAATGTGTTTAACAGTAATTTCTCTACAAATCTCGCCTTTCCTGCCATTTAAACCAACGGTATGTGAAAACGTAAAATGTTTGCAAGTAACGTTAATAGCGATAAATTACCGGCAAAAAAAATATTTACTTGTAGTTTGTTCGAGTACATAGCTGATCTGGGAGTATAGTTTTGGATCTAGATTTACATTTATTTATTAAAAAAAAAATTTAAAAAAAAATTAAAATTATTATTTATCATGTTTATCCAGCAGTTACATATATATTTTAAATGGTACTCACCCTTTCCACCAATGCTCTCGTGGAATACCGCCAAATCCGAAACCACCAAATGAGTTGAAGAAATCATTGCCGAGGAAGGGGAATGATTGTTGGAAGAATACGCCCGGTGGATTATTGTCACCATTAACCTCACTTGTTATGACATCCACTTCTATTGGTAGGAGAAAATAAGAAATATTTGATTAATAAGTACGATACTTACATATGTACATATTAGATATGTAATAGTAAAAGGTAAAAATAGTAAGTATTAGTATTTGAAGAAGACAATATTTAACGTAATTTATTTAAAAGGATTTTTTCTTATATTCACTCAGAGTATACAAGATTCACTTTCGATCGAGCTAGATGCATATAAATGAGAGCTTTTATACAGATATCAGTCATTTTTAGGAGATTACTCTAACTAAATATTTTCACCAGGAGTTTTTTAGTAAAAAAAAAATAAGTTAAATAAGAAATGAAGAATTAAATAAAATAAAATAATAAAAAATACAAATATAAAATGAAATAAAAAAAAGTAAAACAAAATGGCATAAAATAAAACACAATAACAAAATTGAAATAAAATTAAATAAACTGAAATCATATAAATGAAAATAGAATAAAACACAAAGAAATTGAATTTAAGCAAAAAATCAAGTAATATAAAATGAAGTAAAAAAAGTAGCATTAAATTCAACTAAACTAAATTAAACAATAGTAAATGTATGAACACACAAATAAAATAAAGTAATCTAAACGTAGATAAATGAAAATATAATGATATTAATTAATATAATATTAAAAAATAAAATTATATTAAATTACTTAAAAAAAAATAACGGAACAAAAACTAGAAATAATAAATAAGATAATAGAAAAATAAATATAACTAAATTTAATTGAATTACACAATAATATAATATTAAATAAAACAAAATAAAATATGATAAACCAAATTAATGAAAAAAATTAAATTAAATTAAAAAACTAAGCCACAATTAATCATAATAAAAAATTTAAATAAAAATAATTACGTAAATTTAACTTAGTTAAATAAAAAAATTAAATTATTTTAATTTAAATAAAACAACTTAAAATAAAACTTATAAAAATGCATCAATTAAAATAAAGCACAAGAAAAAATAGATTAAAATTATACATATAAAAATGAAAAATAAAAATTAAATAAGATGAATTTAAATTGAATTCAAAAATAAAAACAATAAATTAAAATAATTTAAAAAGAAAAAAAAAATATGAATTTAAGCAATTAAAAATTAAAATAAAAGAAAATTAAATTTAATTAAATTTAATTGAAATAATTAAAATAAAATTTTAAAAGAATAAATTAAGATAAAAAAGTAAAAATTATGAAATAAAATTAAATTAAATTGAAAAATGAACAGAAATTAGGGATAATAAAAAATAAAATAAAAATAATCATTGAATGAAAAAATTAAATTAAATTAATTTAAATAAAAGATATTATACTAAAAAGAATCAAAATAAAGTAACATTATAGAAAAAAATTAAGTAAAATAAAACAAATCAGAATAAAACATAAAAATAAAATTAGATAAAATAAAATTTGTCTAATTCAATTCAATAAAAACAAATAAACTTAATTAAATTAAATTAGTTTAAAAAGAAACAAAAATAAAAACTGAACAAATAAAAATAAAAATAAAAGAAAATTAAACATAAATAAATTAATTGAATTAGAAAATTAAATTAAATTAAGTAAAATAAAATAAATTAATATAAAAAAATTAATAAAATAAAATTAAATTAAATATTAAATAAACAAAAACTAAGTATAATCAAGAAATTAAATAAAAATAATAATAATCACGTTAATTTAATTTCATTAAATGAAAAAATTAAATTAATTTAATTTAATTTAAATAAAATAAATTAAAATAAAATTAATTAAAATACATCAATTAAAATAAAGTAACATAAGAGATAAAATAAATTAAAACAATACAAAACAAAATAAAAAATTAAATTGCAGTAGAAAAATAAAACAAATGTAGTAAAAATAAATTACGTTAAGTTAAATTAATTTATTATTATTAACACTAAATAAAATTAAATAATTATAAATAAATACATCATTTAAGATAAAGTAAAACAAGAGATAAAATAAAATAGAATAAAATAAAATAAAATTCATTTCAATAAGTAAAAAATTAAAATAAATATAAAATAAAATCTAAAAAATAAAATAAAATAAAATAAAATAAAATAAAATAAAATAGGTTGTAGGTTTGTCAATTTCGATACGCACTAATCAAAACGACAGGCAGTACGTGTAACGAACTTTGGCATATGATAAAATACTTTAAAGATTCATTCCCTAACCCCAGTGAGCTTCATATACACTTATGTATACATAATTGACATTAAAAGTGTTTCGTATTTTTCGAGGTAGCCTTTTCTGGTAAAAAAAATATCCTGCTAGTTTTGGAAAAATCTTTTAAATAGCAAAAGTATTTTAATCTTCTTTGAATGTGGTTAGCAAAAGCAAATTTTAAATAAAAAACTTATTTTTTTAAGCATAAATAAACATTTATTATTTATATTAGCTTTAATAAATTTTGATATGCCTTTCATGAGCATCCCATTACTACTCTGGTTTGTTGTATGAAATTATCGTTATGAACTATTTTATATATAATATTTTAGTCTCTGTCTAAAAAAAATATAACTAAAAATAATATCTAGAAATTTCGCGAATTTTTCGATTTTAGTTTGACAAGTCAAGAGTTATGTAAGTATAAATTAGTTTGAGGTCTCGCAGATAGAAGGTCTTTTTACATAATATAATTCAGTCTTTCTTTCTCTGTCAATAATTTAATCTTAATATATTATACGTATACATACATATGTACATACGATTATATTTATAATTTTGGTAGTACGAGTATATGGTTAGTTTACTTACCAAATGGTTTCTCTCTGGCATTCGGTGAACCGGCACGTCCCTGGTGGAGTTGATGTTGTTGTTGTTGGTGTTGTTGCTGTTCGAGTGGAACAAATTCAGCCTCATCATCGAAATTACTATAAACCAAATTTAAAGGTTTTGAATTAGCAAAATTTTGCCAAATTTTTGAATATCCATCAGTTGCTTGCGTCTGTGGTTCAACAATTTCTACTAATTGTGTATCAACAACGGGTGCAGGTGGTATTGGTGCGAATGGTACTAATGGTATGGGTTGTAAGAGGCGGTGTTGTAACGGTGTTGTGAGATGATGTAGATGCGCAAAACTACGAATACGTATATAAATATATGTAAGTGTGTGCGTGGTATTTTTTTTTAGTAAAGTTAATGATTTATGTATACTCGTTATGTATATGTATATGAAGGCGTGTAATATGGATTTTTTAAGCATACAAAAAAATTTAGTGGATTACTAAATAAGATTTGTTATTTTATATAAAAGAATTAGTTATGAAAGTAAATATGAATAAAGTGTTTAAGATGTAAGTATATTAGTATTCCTTATGGTTGATATACATATGTACATACATATGTGGCTTTCAACACTACTCACTCTAAATGTCTGCTAACTTTTACTAAATATTTTTATATAATATATTTCGATTGTAATTTTTATTAAATTAATTGTATATATATGTATGTACGAGTATGTATATATAATTGTAAACATAATCAAATCTTTATGACAATGTTTGTATGTATGTATGCATTAGTTCAAATTTATGTGACCAGCATATTTATGGCTACTTTTAAGGTGATTGTAGCTTTAAACAAATATAAAAACATAAATAAATATTTTGTATTCCAGATACATAATCATGATCGCCATATTAAAATCAAACCACAGCCGAAAACTCTGAAGTGAAGGAAAAAATGTCAATATGTCGTTAATGACACATTTCAAATTCTATGGAATTCAAATGGTTCTTTATTGAAAAATCTGTTTGCTAGAGAATTTGTATGCACTGTGAGGAAATTAATATTTCTGTGTTCTTTTTTTTATGTATAAATCGTATGTATATTCGTATGCATTAAAACACCTGACAGAATTGTAATATTCATCACTCCTTTTTACGAAACAACTCTTATTTCAAATAAAAACGATAACAATAAATGAAACCGAATAATTTCAATTTCGTATATATTTCGAAATTCCATGAATAAAATATTATGCCAAACCTAAAGTATATACATATATATAATTTTTTTTTTTGTTGAAATGGAAAATAATTTCATTTGATGATGGTTCAAGTTTTACCCTGAGATACAGTAATCAGTCTCAATAATTTTTGAAATCTAAAACATCCATGCTTAAGAAAAATTTAGACCACGAAATTGCCTAAACCGGGAGTTTGTTCTAAGATTTCTAAGTGGATAATCTACAATAACTTTATTTTTCACTTGCTTGTTTGATATTATTATTATATACCTGTCGTATAGGTAGGTACATTATATAAAATAAAGTAGTACGTCTGTAATATATTTATTATTCATTGTACAAAAATTATTCGTTACCATTTTGACGCACTTCTCTTACCAAAAAAACAAATTAAAAAAAATAAATAAGCCTGTGATGAAAATTCTAATGAGATGTCAAAGTCGTCGTAGGTATAAATAACAAACTAATGGTATTTAATTTTTTTCCAAATTTTTTAATAAAATTTTATTAGATGGAAACGGATTTGCATAATAATAAAAATACTTTAAAAATATGTATGTATATTGGTTTATGAATAGTAATACGAGGTGCGTTCGAAAAGTATAGCGAATTTCGAATGTCCACAGACTAAGGTTTTTCCGGGCATAACCTCTCTAAAATATAGCTGAAGAACATACACTTCTAACCGCAGTAGCCGAGTGGTTAGTATTGCGTACTGCCATTCGGATGGCTCGACAACCAAAAAGTTATAGAAAATTAATATAAATAAAAAATTTACTTAAAATTTCTAATTGCGGTCGCATGTCGGCAGTGAATGTAATGGAAGCTGCTCGTGAAGAAACTATGAGCAGTTCGGAGACGGGTTAGTATAAACTACAAGTCCCTTCGTTTGTTGAAGAAACATCAAGACGCAAAACCACAAATTGGAAGAGGAGCTCGGCCGAAGGGTGTTTGCGCTATTTCCATACCGTGGACGAAACAAAAACACATCACACAACACCGAGAATCAAGAAACAGTGTGAACGTGTTTGAAAACTTGTAAGGTAAGTTGGCCAAAAAGAACCTAATATTTTTTAATCCAATTTTTTTTATTAAATATGCGATTGAGCGTATTTATGTTCGCGAAATGAGATGGTTGTCCTGGGGCGTTTAGTCTCATTTAGATTGTGACGTGTTCAGCGACTCATAATTAGTATAAATACGAGGTTTCATTGTTATTACACAATTGGCCTTTGAGCTATCATCGTAAACCAAATGGGAAATTTGGAAAAAATTGAAGCAAGGAAAATCAGTTGCGACCATAATGAATGAGATCTCATGGGTTTACGGCGACTCTTGTCCGGAAACACCATGATGTACAAGTGGCATAGTTTATTTAAAAAAAGGAGGTGAAACGAGGTTGAACCAAAGCATCAAAATGACCATGCCAGAACTTATTCAAAAAGTTGTAAAATTTGTTCCCAACAATGCTTCGAGAAAGAATTAAGAACTGGGAGAAATGATTGCACTATCCGATACAAGCATTTTTAAAATTATGCAAAATAATCTTGGCACGACTAAGGTCAGCACAAGATGAACATTAACATTGCTCAAATATATTAAGATTTGACCACAGCGACTCATATTTACTCCAAGGGGTCGAGTTTTTATTTTCCAACCACAGAATTCGAGACACTTTTCGAATAGACCTCGCATACATATCCGCCGTGTCATGTGTTACTTCCTTTCAAAATTTAATGAGCTGATATATAATTTGTTTTGTCTTTCCATTATGTTTCCTTTATAGTGTGCATGCATTATTCGCTCACGACATAAAAGTAAAAATAAATAAATTAAAATATGAGTCATTCTGTACTCAAGCGTGAACGTCACTTTGCATATTAATTGGGATTTTTCGTTGCACTTGGATGACATTCCAGAACCATTTTTGGGTAATTAATGAGATACCGGCATGTATGTGCATATGCATGTGGGTACTGTTATTTATACTTAGGAAAAAAGTTTCATGATTTATCGTTCTCTTAACGCGCTCCAGGTTTTTCGTTCTTGGAAATTTCACTTAAAGGCAAGAAACACAAAATAATAATATTGTAATAAATATTTTTTTCTTTATCACGAAGTTAACACTCTGTACGAGTATGTAGAACGTCTGTTGAATAACATAAAAGTAAAATTTACAAAATTCAAAAGCATAACTTATATATAAGTTAAAAAATAATAAAAATAAAAAAAAAAATAAAAAAAATTATGTGACCTGAAAATTAAAATAAACACATATAATTTCCATATTATTTTTAATAACAAACGCCCCCCTGGAAATGGTAATGCATGGTAATAGAGAAAATCAACTAGTATCAGGTATCGAGAGCGTCACATTATCGACTTCACTAACTTTTTCTATGTAAAATGAGTTGAAATAATTATTAATAAAGCCGGGTAGTTCACATTGCCACTTCACATACACACACATACACACATTAATTATATGTATACATACATAATTGGCACTTTGCCAGCGCTAAAACGTTTTTCGGACGAGCTCCTCATCCCATTCATCGTGTGCACCTTAATGTTTTTCCAACAATTGGTGAGACCTACAGTTTATACTAAGCCGCCTCCGAACGGCTGATGGTTTTTTTATGAGCAGCCTTTATTTCATATCAGAAATACACTCGAAGACGATAAAATTCCATGCCGACGGGCGACCGTAATTAGAAAAATTAATTTTTTTATCATCTTGAATATTGATTCGACTAGGAATCGAACCATGGCCTTTCACATCGTTGTATGCGGTGCTAAGCACTCACATTACAATTTGTTAATTAACCGTTTCCAAACTGGGACTTATGTAAAATTAAATTTATTTATTAACAGTGCATAATTGGTATGAAAATCACACTTGCTGGGATTTGAAAAAACGAAGCTTTGTATTGTACATATGTATGGATGTACAATTGTGATAAAAAAAATATAATAATTGCTTGAATGAGTTTTGTACATAATTTCTAAATATGTACATATGTATGCATGTATGTATATAAAATCAGAGGCTAAACAATTCACTACGTATGTACGTTTTAAATAAGCCAAAAATAAACAAACATATTTTCAGCACCCTCTATGTAAATACATATATACTAATGTATTGTATTTAGTGATTTTCAAGGCAAATGATTACATGAAAATATATTTATGTATGTATATATTATTATTAATACATAAAAACATTTTAAATGTTTAAAAGAAAAACAAATTAATTAAATACTTAAATAAAATACTAAGCAATGTTAATAATGCTTAATTTCATGACATAAGTGCGAAAAATAAGGCGAGAGATTTCTACTGGAGACAAATTTTACGAAAGATCGCTTAATCCGAACTTTACTGACTTAATAATAAAATTATACATATATATATATCAGGAGTACAACTTTGCTTCCGTCGTTTTCCGTTAGGTGGCTGTACCGGCTGAGGCTGGTTGAAATACTTAGATAAAAATGCCTTTAAAGTGAGTGTGGACAGTGCCTAACGAATTGTCATCGCCGTTTCAGTGACAGTTGTTCTTGTTTTCGTATTATTCACGCTCGGAAATGTCCATTTATGTGCCTAATTCTCGCCATTTGTGGAAAGTTTTACTTTTCTGTTACAATTCGAAAAAAAAATGCAGTTGAAGCGCATCGAATGCTCTCAGAAACTTACAGTAATGCTGCTCTGAGTGAAAGAACGTGTCGGGAGTGGTTTCAACGTTTTAAAAATAGTGATTTCGATGTTGAAGACAAACAAGGTTTTAATTTGTAATTGGTGGGATCAGCTCGGTGTGATTTACTACGAGCTTTTAAAACCGGGTGAAATCATCACAGGAGATCGCTACCGAACGCAACAAGCGGCCACAATATCAAG